AGCCCTCTGTTCACACCACAGCCCCCCCATCTTCAAATCAGGAACCCTCCAACTTCACATCAGAAACACTTCCTTCACACCACAGCCCCCCATGTTCACAACAGCAACCCTTCCTTCACACCACAGCCCCCCACCACCTTCTAGACCTCAAACTGGGAGTCATCAGGACTCTACACCAACGGGCAGAGAAAATTCCCACCAGAAGAGAGGCCAAGATGAAGGAATTCAAACACCTCAGGAAGGTCCTTAAAACTTGGGGGTATCTAGACTGGGCTTTTGTCAAAAAAGAAAGAAGAGGGAAGAATGCCAAGAGTACCAGTGAGGGTGAAAAGCATGACAAACGGAAGAATTTGGTCATCGCATATGTAGCTGGGGTGTCTGAGAAACTCAGAAGGGTTTTAATCCTTTTAAGGACATCCGTTTCAGCTGCGGCGTCTCAGTAGCAGCTCGCGGTATACTGAGCTTTGGGTGACGGGAGGATGCTAGTTTGTGTCCTCCCGTTACCCTTCGGAGAACTATGGGGAAAAGCACTAACCCTATACTTCTCTTTTAAAGACCAAAGATAGGAATGTCTTTTCCACCTCTAAGAATGACAAGAATCACATTTATTGTACTGTGAAGGCTGAATAAACTACATTGGATTCTAATCTGAGTCTTCTTATTGAGTTGAACACTATCTGTGAATTATCACCAAGTAAGTAGGTTGTCATACTCTTCGTACATATGAGTCTCAGGAAAGTATGTGCAAATACATAGAGCAATGGCTTTTCCAGAATAACTGTGGTTATACTATTGGAACTATTTATTGCTCACATGCATTTGAGTAATATAGGTAAGTATATGGACGCGTGCACCCGCATGCAGACACTGTGGGACAGGAAGTGCCAGCAAGGACAGAGGAGTCAGCGCTGGATCGGAGACCGGCAGCACCGCTGGAGGGACAGATGAAAACATCAGGAAAGAAGAAGAAGAAGATCGGATTAAGAGGCATCAGTTAAGGTAAGTGCTGACATTAACATTGGGGGGAGGTAAAAAAAATGACTTTAATGTCACTTTAAGGTATTTACAGTATAAAGCAGCTGCTTGAGGGTGGTCGCGCTGCTAGGGGGAAGCGCAGATTTGTGGACTGATTTAATATTTCATGTTTGTAGACTAGTGAACACATTTTGAACAGGCTTATACATTCCCATTTGGAAACAATAATCTTAACTGCAAACAAGGCTACTTAGCAGAGCTTATTGATTTAAATGTAGGCATTCCATAGCTGGCAGAATATTCCTGTAAAAATAACTGATGTTTAGATACCATGCAAGATGTTATCACTTAATAGTTCCACATACCTGGGCTGTAGTAGTCATAAACTATAACATTTGCAGGGTGCAAATTGTCCACATGCTTTTCTTTTTTTACACCAAAACCAAAACTATGGGTTTCATGATTAAGCTGCAGAACAACAATACACAAAGATCAATAATAAAGTAGCAACCAATTCTCAGCAATGCGGCCTAAAACAAAGGGATGTCAGGATTCTTTACAAAATTGGGAAAGGTTAGAATCTGTTGCTTTGCTCTGTGGGCATCTTTGTTTTGCTGTCTGTGTACCCATTGGAGAGATTGGAGACCCCACACATTGCTCTAGTGTCACTAGGATAGGAACTGAGGAAAAAACATAAAAAAAAAGTGCTGACTCTACAATATCTAAATTATAAAAAAGATTAGCAGGCTTATTCACAAAAGGGTGAAGAGTTTGGAGAAGGCAGGAGAAGTGACCAATCTAGGACAATAGAGCTGAACTGGAAAGTGAACTGAATTGGAGAATGTTTCCAAATCAGCTATTTTGGCCTAGATTGTTCACTTCTCCTGCCTTCTCCAAACTCTTCATCCTTTTGTGAATAGCCCTGTAGGTGTTCTGACTTCACTGTGACCTTCTTGATCTGCAGGCACCATCTAGGTCAGTGACTCAAAGTAATGAAGTCTGAGAAAGATGAGCAATGAGAGACCAGAAAGGTACCTTGGAACTAGCCAACTAGCAAACAACAAGCAAAATAATAATAAAAAAAATTCCAACCAGATTCAACCAAAAATGGTTAGATTGGGATTCTGTTACATTTCACAGACAAGAAGAATCTTTCAGATGAGGTGAATATCCCATGTCTTTACAATGTATATGATAACGTATGTATGAAAACATATACATAAAAGCTTAGCAAACTCATATTTGAAGCTTAGATTTGTTAGGTCATCTCTGACATGTGGGGTCATCTGGGCAGAAACTCACAGAACAACTGAATAGAAAGAAGCATCACATGTTCATACACATGCTTCTACTAGTCAAAATAAAATGAGATACATTTCTCTTGAAAGTATTTGTCAGGGCAAAAACAAAACAAACATATGCAGTACATCTCTGTAATACATGGACAGTCCCCCATGTTTTAACCCTACTTACCCCAAGCAAGTATATTTCAGTGCCTTCAGGGGAAATATCTACTCTTCCCACAATGGATTCCTTCACAAGCTAAGTAAAATAAGAGTGTAACAGGCATCAGTTCCTTCTGTTCACAATGCACAACTCACCCTAACATACTCCTCCTTCCATTCACCCATAATGCAATGGGCATATAAAATGGGGAATTTAACTGTTTTCTCTACGTTTTGTGACCAGAATAATTTTTTTAATTTTGTCAATAGCCCAATTTTGTTTAAAATAACTGATTGCCATGGGAATTTGCCACAACATGTTAGGATGGATATGTTAGGGTATCCATATACATGACACACTGTTCCAGAAGATCATAATTTTGAAAAAAATAAGTGTGATCCCGTTATGCCGATCAGAAAATGTATGTGTTGAGCAGACACTGCTGATGCAGGTCTTCAATTGGATTGAAGAATCTAGTTTCCTTGTACCCAGAATTCCATCATTCCATCATGGTTGTAGATTACACATAAAATTCAGGTTTTCCCATTCCAAATGTTATGACCCGTAAACGAATCATTTCACATTTATAGGTATCCCTATACAATATCTTGGTGGACACACACTCTTTCTTCTCTCTTGAAAGGAAACTATAGGCTTTGTAAATCTGTTGGTATACATGGCAAATTCATGTGTAGCCAAATCTATTTTTAACTTTCAATAGAACAGGAAAGATTATAACCCCTGCCAATTTAATATTTGATGTTTCCATTGCAGTAATTTCTTTTTACTTCCTGTCTTACAGATGCAACAGGAAGTGAAATACATTTTCTAAAAAGTGAGAGAAATACCCTCTCAGACAGTTGTCACCAAATCAGGTGTCCACATTGGCAGATTTCCAATACATTCCTTGACAACTGTAAAATTTGGATTTTTTTATTCATTTCTGAAAGTGGTCACAAAGGCAACTAGAGAGGGTACTCTATCTAGCAAGGAATATAGACCACAATAATAAACCTGACAGAGGTTCTAATTTCTTTACCACTCTATTAAAAAAAAAAAAAAGTTTTAAAGTGACACTAAACTCAGGAGTTAAACCTTAAAATGTATTCAAGTACCTAAATATTAACAATACTGGACCTTATTTGTGTATCACTCGGCTGTAGATCCTCGAATCATCTCTGAATTCATGCTGACACTGTCCTTCGTTCTGGAGGGTGGCTACTTGTGTTCCCCATGGTCCCTGTGTGTGTTGTAAAGTAGTCTCCCCTCTAAGCTCTCATTTAATTAAAAGTGTGTTTTTAAGGTTTAACTCCTAAATTGTCACTTTAACTATTTTTGTTCTAAGTGTCCTACATTTTGGGCAGGGACATCGTGATACAGAACTGTAGGAGGCTGTAGGAGGAGCCAAAATAAATACTGCACATGAACTGTCCATTCAGGAAGAAAAGCTGTTTTAATATTGCATTGCCTTCCCCAGACTTAGCTATACTAGGGGTCATAACAACATTAAGGGCTTGTACACGTTATAACACATAATGACCTAATGCAATGCACCTCAATGCACATAAACACGTGTTGCAGCAGTCTGTGCTATACTGTGAACGGGCCCTAAACCTGAATCATGTCACCTGATTTTGTCTTCTACAGCAAACTGCTATATGTGCATATATTTTTTACCAATTACCCAAGAAATATATTTTTTCTTTCATTTCTACAGCCAAAGTAAAGAATCCAAAAGTTAGTCTGATTACCCTGACCTTGGCTCTGCAATAAATTATAATGGACCTTCTTCTTGTTATGACTTTGGCATGACTGTAGATTGGCATATATTTAAGTCTGGCCTGAGTTTGCTCTGCCACTTAAAGAGGAACTTTACCCATATCTTCAAAATAACAACAAAGGCACCTTTAGAAATGTTTAGTAACGACAATCTACAAACACATACTTCTAGATAATTGCATCTTTTAATTCTTTATATACCTTGTTTTTCTTTTCCTCTTCATTCTTCTCACAGTGGCCATCTTTACTAAGGGCAGATTAATCCATCTCTCTCTACTTCTTGGAACTCTGGCATATGTGACTAGGACATGTGACCATGCACATCATCTCAGGGGAGGAAAATGCCTTTCCCTGAGATTTTGTGAGATTACAGATGAGAATTCCCAGCAATGCACTGCTAATGTAGCCTTCCCAGGATGCAAGACTTGGGCACAGATTACATCCATCACTTTTGCCAAAGAGAATCAGGAAGTAGAAAAAAAAGAAATTGTAAGTAAAATAAAAAATAATGTGTTTGTTTAGCTAATTAATCTAAGATGATTTCATATCAGCATGCAAAGCAGCATGCTGATGTAATCTTTAGCCAAAGGGGGTAAAGGTCTGGTTTAACAATGAACTACGGTACTTCAAGTGATGATTCTCCACATCAATCTTGCATGTGTATGTGACACCTACCTGTTTAAAACTCGTTTTATAGGTAGAATGTCCTGATAGAAGTTCCACTTTAATCACAACCATTTGGATTTCAGGTTGTTCTCCCAAGTATCTGCAAAATACAAATGGTTTTAAGGTGAGTCAACTGCAGGTCATCAAAGATGGATCAAATTAAATAAACAACAATGCACCATATAAGAAGAGAACATTAAAAGTAAGGGCTCATTCATATGGGCGTACATGCCTGTAATAAGACCAGATCCCGGAAGGGACAGGTGCTGCGTGTAAGTGCATGCAGCAGCATGTTCTACCCTATGGAAGGACACGGCTGCATGCAATTACACACAGCACCTGTCCCTTCCGGCATCTGGTCTTTTTACGGGTATGCATGCTGTATGGACATGTACGCGCATCTGAGTTTGGCCCCAGGTCACAACTCCCAGGTTCACCCTGCTCGTGTGTGGAGAGTAGCCGTACACACAGGATACAGAGAAGGAAGCTGTGTACCAGGCTGCGCTAGCAAAGACAGGATGGACAGAGCAAAAGGAGATCCAGTAAACAGGCCAAAGGTCGGGGTGGGAAGCAGACAAACGTACACAACAAGCCGAGTCGGTACACAAGAGATCAGTCCACGGGTAGTCAGGTCTGGAACAAACACACGTATAGGGGCTCAGAAACAGAGTGTTGCTCAAGCAACCAGAAGATGGTCAGAGAGGGATTTAAATAGGGAGGCAGGACAAGAAGTAGCGGGAAGGAAGGTATATAAATTATAAGGTGAAGTGGGCAACACCCATGGTTGCTAAGTCAATGCAGCAAGAGCAGCGCACATGCTTGTAGAACCACATGTGCCAGCAGACCTACAGCAGCAAAAGATAAAAAACAAATGCAAAGGAGTAAAGCACAGATCAGCTCTGCAGATGATCTGTGACGCAAGATGACAAGTGCTTGGGCAAAAATGTAAAGAAATACAATGCTGGCCAATGTATATACTGTATACTGTATGTTTGATCTGGAATAATTATTGAAAAAAAGGTTTAAAACTTTAATACTAGTTTAAAGGTAATCCCTGAAAAAACAGTGAGATTACACAAAAAACAAAACAAAAAGTGGATTGTCCAAATGGTTCAGGATGACACTAAACTAAACTTCTTGCATGTCTGTAACCAGTCTTATCCCTGCCCCTCTCACTGACATCATCATGTACAGTGTAGGACATGTACCCACCACTAACCATGTTACCAGAACAGTCTTTTGCCCTGCTGCCACTTTTGTCCTGGAGCAGCCCCACCTCAAATACATTGCAGTATAAAGTTACATAAGCACAATACTGTGAGTAGGGTTAAATTATGCAGTGGAGGTTTCATCTCACCTGACATCCACAAGGACCTCGAACGTTGTCTGTGCCTCATGGCTACACACTGCTGGTTGGGTGGTTACATTAACAGAAAATTGGTTGTTGTGGTCATCAGGAAGAAGGTGGTAATGAAGATGGGACTACAAGTAGATAGGAAACCAAGAACCTCTTATACACTTTTTAAACTTTTTTTGTAATGCTCATGAAATTTAGTAAGAGAAATCAGCAGATACACGAGACTCAATTCACTAAAAAGATATGAATTACTTTAACCTTATTTGTCATGTTTTCTCAGTTTTCTGCTCTCAAAATGTTCTGTAGAATCACTTAGGACTGGAATTATATATTTTTCCCAATATGGGTATTTAAATGTTGAAAACATTATTTTATCTTACAAATTGTTATTTCACAAACACCTCAAAGGCTATTTTTCTTGCACTCCTCTATAGACAGCATAATGAAACTCAGAAGAATCAACAGGCTGAAGCTTGTGATATAATATCTGTGAATTGCCCAAAAATATTTATCTGACACATTTTATAAAGCACAGTTGTGTGTTTTTCTATTGACTTGCTTTGGGACTAAGAAGCAAGTAAAATGCCATTCATTTGAATGGGGTCAAATATTCAAGAAGAAGGAAACTGGCAAACTAATCACCAGTTGATATTACATATTGCTGGTTTCTTAAAATGTGCCACTTTCCAGAATTCCCAAACCTGAGGAAAGCGTAGCATGCACAGGTTTTCCTATTAATTGGTGCTGTGACATTCCACCGCTGGATCCCAATGGCTATACCGTTCTAATAAGCCACTTAGCTGCATTGTACAACAGCAGGATATCCGTAAATATATAGGTGTCTCTCTCTTCTCTTCTTCAAAGTTGTACTAAGTATTGCTTACGTGTTATATTTAAAAAATATGGATCAAGGCTGAAGGAAAGGGCAACATTCTGCTCACTTGTATGTAAACACAGCCATTTCCTTTGATAGAGGCTGTGTAAATCCCGGGGACTTTTGGCAAGTCTACCATTTGTAGGAGTAAGTTGTTTCTTTTGTCTATATGAATCTCTTTGTAAAATCCTGACTGTCCATCAATAGTCACAGTTGACTCTCCATTCCCGTGGCTGGTGGCTTTGGCATATTTAGCAAGAGCTTGAAGAGCTATTGTAGTGTCCTGTAACACAGAACACCTTTGTAAGAAATAAAAGCATTCTAATTTTTCTATACAATAAGCAATAGATAGACCATGGTATATAGTATCATAAATAAATACTGTTATTTTTGTTTATAATGAAAACATATAAACTGATTTCTAGTAATCACTTCAACAAACCTAACATTTAAACAGTATCCTCTAACTGCATACACCCTAAGTACCTCTATTATGAATGATACCATCCTCTGTGCACCCCAGGAGTCCCCAGGCACAAGACTTGCGGCTTTGGCAACCTACCTCCCCACCCAACCTTAATCATCCAATAACCCTAAGTAAGCATCTCTCTTTTGAAATAAAGGTAATATAATAGATGTAGGCATCTACAGATTTGCTATGCTATAGGGATCATTTAGAAATGTTATTTGTGCGCAAGCAGTGTCCTGTTCTCCTTTCAGGAGGCTCTAACATGAAGGAGCCCTGCCTCTACCAAGATGGATGCCCCCATACGTAAACAGTGCAGAACATGCATGGTAAGCCAGTAATGGGGGAAGATCAAGTGTAGGGAGACCACAGGACAATACTGGTGACTAGTCCTTGGCCCTCTGTCTGCATTCTGTTGGACAAAACATCCACAGTTCAGTTCCTCTTTCAAGAAAAATTGAAGTCAACTTAAAAACAGGGCAAATGCTTTTAAGTTTGCTTTAAAAGGTTGTATTGCCATTCTATAATACCTTGTAACAGTTGGGAAGCTAGACATTCTGACCCCTGGGGCAAACTATCAGAGTTGCTCCCCCCCCAAAGGAGAAGTTTTCCATCCACACACCCAGTGGCACACCCCTCCTAAAGTGGCACCCAGGGCACACGCCCCCTCAGCCCCTCCCCTAGCTTTGAGCCCGCCTTATAGTGCTGTTGTTTTTCCCAGCACAGGCTGCATATTATAAGAATAGGCTGCATCAAAGTATTGCTGCTCTCTATGCCAGAACAGTTGTATCTGTGCAATGTTAAAATATACACTGCACCAATCAGCAACATTTACCAATTGGTGTCTAGATGCAGGCTACCATTTTAGCAAATGATGTGGCATGCTTAACCACTTAAAGTGGGTTCACGTATATGTACATCCTCCGCCTGAAGCAGTTATACCAAGAACACAGCTGCTGCAGCCGTGTTCTTGGTATTGTTTTAAACAGCCAGCAATGGCTGTTAATGTACAAGCAATCCGACTCATTTGTACAGAGCGGCGTTGTGTGGCCCCTACCCACGGTGGGCCTCTCCTCTTCAGTCGGAGAGAGATCAGTAAGCTTCTAGCTGCTGATCTCTCCTCCGATCACTGGACCAGGAAGTGATGTGTATTACATAAATTCCGGTATCAATGTTTACATTCTCTGGCTCTTAGAGCCAGGAGAAGAAGCGGGTGAACCAGATCTTTGCTTCATCAGCTTCTTTGGGGTCCCTAGGTGACATTAGGGGTCTGAAAGACACCTGATGTCTCCATGAAGAAGACCTTTTTGCATCATATTTGCTATTACATAGGGGGCTTCTTAGCCCTCTATGTGATAGCAATAAAGTTAAGTGTAAAAAAACATAAATACAAAAATTTAAGTAACACATTTTTTTTTAAATGCAATTTTTTTTTTTAAAGTCCCGCACATACAAACGCAAACAAGCGTCCCATGCACCTACGTGCAAAAACGAAAATTGCGCCACACATGTTACATATTGCTGTGAACGTCATAGTGAGAGCATTAATTCTAGGGCCATCAATCATTGCTAGCACTAAACTGATTAGCAGTGAAGCTTTTAAAGCATCGCCTATGGGAAATTTTGGGTATTGTAGTTTTTTGCGGTTTCACGGGTGCAGGCAATTTTAAGGCTTGACATGTTTGATATCTATTTACATGACGTGACCCCATCTTTAATATTTTACCCCCCAAAAAATGTGGTATTATATCCTGTTTCTGTGCACTAAAATAATTTTAGTGTATTGTATCATAAAAATACTGGTTTGATAAACATTTTCTCAAATACCATGCAACATAAAAAATTGCAACTAGCATTTTTTATTCTGAAGCTGTTTTCTAGACAAAAATTCTGATTTTATCATGTGTGCGCAAATAGTAAGAAATTGCTCCAGACAGCAAGTGCTAACAAGAGGATCTCATCAAAAAAGAAACATTTCTGTACAAAGACAAGGAATCCTCACAGTACACGTTTGCATAGACGTAATAGTTAGTTAGAGGGAATACGATACTGAAAAAATAAGATATAACCTGAGAAGAGAAGTAGCCACCCATTAGGTTTTGTTTTGAAGCAAGCCAACGGACTACATCAGCGCATTCATCAAGTTCTTTGTGAGTAATTATCTTGTCCGAGAGCAGAGCCAGGATCACATATGCAGATGTTTCAATATCTCCGTGACGATAGCCTACACCTTTCCAATGCTTCATTCCACCTGAATGAACATATACAATTACAGTTAGTACATCTGCCCTAAAGGATATTGTAATTCTGTCCCTTTAGGTTCTTATGCCAGACACCACCCCCCCCCCACCAAC